GGGGAGGATAGACGCGGAAGAAATTTAAAATCCGGACATCAACTCCGTATCTCCAAAAAAGGGAGGTGTTGGGATATTCAGGAAAGTATCCCAAGAATTATCCTGTTAAGCCTAATGTTATCCTTGGACATGAAATGATATCATCTTATTGGTGAATATTTGTTTAACGTGTCATTTTCCTACTGGCCAGTATTGTACAATGTTATTTTCTATTTTATGGGACGTTGTGGTCTGCTTGACTGGTATATAAACAAAGTATGTTTGAAATATGATTCATAAATCTGAGGCTGAAACTTGTGTTCTGGACTCAACTGGCTGGGTTAGATAGGGAAGCGAGACCAATCAGAGCCCTAGGTCGTTCTACGTGTTTGTGCGTCTTTGGTCCGATCAATATTTCGCTACCCTTAATCAGCAGATCATTTTCACGTTATAACAATTGGCGACGGGGTGAAGAAAAGATACAATCCAAAGTCATTCTGTAATTGGACGAAATCCAGTTTGATTATTCGACCAATCAGTATCCAGATTGTCCTCAGTGTCCTTGAACCACATTGGACATTAGTCATACGGTAATTTTCATCACAGGTGCTGATTCAAAAAAATGACTCTCCCTTCCGATCGATTACAGCTGCTCTTTGAACGACATTTGGACTTATTAGTCAAATTCCGCACGCAGCTGCTAAATCTTTCATGCTATGAAGACGGAGGTGGATGGATTGATATCTGAATTACACAGTGAACTGGAAAATGACAACAGCCTTCATGAATCCTCGATGAACTGTACTTCAAACGAAACAGTCATCCATGATGCGCCCAGTGGTCCAGTACTTTCTATTCCAGAAACATGCCCGGTAATGGAGTCAAACTCCATCATCCCCGAAACAGCATGTGCAGACAGTAACATATCCAGCTCACGAGATCTCATTGTTTTGCCAGAAAATGTGTTCCACGCATCAAATAATAACCAAGAACCTGGTACAGTTTTGTTGGACGCCAATTATCATAATGATCCACTACTTACTAAAGATTTAAACCCTGATGACTTCAAATTGGATGGCGTTTATCCTCAATATCTGATCGATTTTACTGGATTCCCTGTGCAATATGTTTTAAATACAATCAAATTAATTGTAATTTGGGTTTATGAAGACCCAACATTATTTCGCGGGGGAGGATAGACGCGGAAAAAATTTAAAATCCGGACATCAACTCCGTATCTCCAAAAAAGGGAGGTGTTGGGATATTCAGGAAAGTATCCCAAGAATTATCCTGTTAAGCCTAATGTTATCCTTGGACATGAAATGATATCATCTTATTGGTGAATATTTGTTTAACGTGTCATTTTCCTACTGGCCATTATTGTACAATGTTATTTTCTATTTTATGGGACGTTGTGGTCTGCTTGACTGGTATATAAACAAAGTATGTTTGAAATATGATTCATAAATCTGAGGCTGTCACTTGTGTTCTGGACTCAACTGGCTGGGTTAGATAGGGAAGCGAGACCAATCAGAACCCTAGGTCGTTCTACGTGTTTGTGCGTCTTTGGTCCGATCAATAATTCCCTACCCTTAATCCGCAGCATCATTTTCACGTTATAACAATTGGCGACGGGGTGAAGAAAAGATACAATCCAAAGTCATTCTGTAATTGGACGAAATCCAGTCTGATTATTCAACCAATCAGTATCCAGATTGTCATCAGTGTCCTTGAACCACATTGGTCATTAGTCATACAGTAATTTTCATCACAGGTGCTGATTCGAAAAAATGACTCTCCCTTCCGATCGATTACAGCTGCTCTTTGAACGACATTTGGACTTATTAGTCAAATTCCGCACGCAGCTGCTAAATCACTCATGCTATGAAGACGGACGTGGATGGATTGATATCTGAAATACACAGTGAGCTGGAAAATGACAGCAGCCTCCATGAATCCTCGATGAACTGTACTTCAAACGAAACAGTCATCCATGATGCGCCCAGTGGTCCAGTACTTTCTATTCCAGAAACATGCCCGGTAATGGAGTCAAACTCCATCATCCCCGAAACAGCATGTGCAGACAGTAACATATCCAGCTCACGAGATCTCATTGTTTTGCCAGAAAATGTGTTCCACGCATCAAATAATAACCAAGAACCTGGTACAGTTTTGTTGGACGCCGATTATCATAATGATCCACTACTTACTAAAGATTTAAACCCTGATGACTTCAAATTGGATGGCGTTTATCCTCAATATCTGATCGATTTTACTGGATTCCCTGTGCAATATGTTTTAAATACAATCAAATTAATTGTAATTTGGGTTTATGAAGACCCAACATTATTTCGCGGGGGAGGATAGACGCGGAAGAAATTTAAAATCCGGACATCAACTCCGTATCTCCAAAAAAGGGAGGTGTTGGGATATTCAGGAAAGTATCCCAAGAATTATCCTGTTAAGCCTAATGTTATCCTTGGACATGAAATGATATCATCTTATTGGTGAATATTTGTTTAACGTGTCATTTTCCTACTGGCCATTATTGTACAATGTTATTTTCTATTTTATGGGACGTTGTGGTCTGCTTGACTGGTATATAAACAAAGTATGTTTGAAATATGATTCATAAATCTGAGGCTGAAACTTGTGTTCTGGACTCAACTGGCTGGGTTAGATAGGGAAGCGAGACCAATCAGAGCCCTAGGTCGTTCTACGTGTTTGTGCGTCTTTGGTCCGATCAATATTTCGCTACCCTTAATCAGCAGATCATTTTCACGTTATAACAATAACACAATGACGTTTGAAGCGAACGGTACTGGGCTCGAGTCCTAGAGTGGATATTAACACTGAGATGCAGGTACATCCTGCCGACGAGTCTCAAGTAGGACGTAGATCCTAGATTCCACTGCTAGCCACTATCCATCTTTTCTCATAGTATTAATTAATATTTGCATTAAAAAACAAACATTAGAAATGAAAGAAAAAAATGAGATTTTGTAGTAGGATTTATATTGATGTAAGTAGTAAATTCATATTTTTTTACCAGTACAATTTCAATGAAACAATCAGTTATCTATTAGAAGAATGAAATTGTTACAATAAGGAATGTTTTCTTATTGACAATATCATTTTCTATTATAAAATAGGGGTATGTTAGAAAAAAATTATTAAAGATAGTTATGCTTATTTAAGTAGTGAATAAAAAGTTTTTTGAAAATGAATGTAATAGTCTATAAATAGAAGGGTGATATTTCAACGTAATTAAGGTTTGTAAAAGTATATAACGATTGAATACAAATAGATGTTATATCATTTAACAAGTTTATCAAAATTTATAAAGAACTTAAGTTATGTAATAGTTTCAGAAGTAATAGAAATAATAATAAGGATAGAAAAATTCAAAAAACAAGTGGATAATGCGATGATGTTTGTAGGGAATGGTATTTGATCCGAGTCTCAAAATGAACATCAACCCTGGGATACAGCTGACGAGTCCCAAATAGGACGAAACGTACGTCTGTGTTCCACTGCTAGCCACCATTCATCTATGCTTATAATACTTGTTATTTAAGGAAATATTGACTCAGTTCGTACAAGATGCTTATATACCAATAAGAGATTTATCAATTGCAATTGTCAACATCAATGGGATGATTCAAACAACCAATATAAAATGAATCAGAAAACGATTGATTATACTACAACAGAATAAGACAATGATTAGCGCAAACGACTTATTAAATTGGAAAAGGTGCTAAAACTGTAGACGAATTGGGGATTGAACATTACTCTTTTGTACACAGAGGTGAGGTTTGAATGCCTGTAGCTCCAACTCTGAATAAATTGATCATCTAAATCTTTTTTTGAGACAGTTCTTTGAAATTTCTAGATG